CCCGCCCTTAACATCCACATGGGGGTTCCACGTAGCCGATGCAGCACACCGTGGAATCACCATGCCCTCTGTCTGCCCCACACCCTTCAATATCTCAAATGCTTACCCCTTCCCACGCCGTGGAGTCACCTTGTGTTCTGCCCTACCACCTGCCTCGTCTCTTGCACCCTATACTGGCGCCATGTCCCTCCACATAGCGACCAGAGGAACTCCCTCCCACTTCATCCCTCTTGCCTCCGCCCTCTACTTCTACCCCGTCTACACTGCCACGGCCCCGCCTCCGGCCCCTTAACATCCACATGGGGGTTCCACGTAGCCGATGCAGCACACCGTGGAATCACCATGCCCTCTGTCTGCCCCACACCCTTTAATATCTCTAACGCTTACCCCATCCCTGCCCCCTCCTCACATTGGGGATTCCACGTAGCCGATGCAGCACGCCGTGGAGTCACCATGTGTTCTGCCCTACCACCTACCTCATCTCTTGACTGCACCCTATACTGGCGCCATGTCCCACTGCCTGCCCCCTCCTCACATTGGGAATTCCACGTAGCCGATGCAGCACGCCGTGGAGTCACCATGTCTTCTGCCCTACCACCTACTTCATCTCTTGCCTGCACCCTATACTGGCGCCATGTCCCACTGCCACCCCGAGTAAACCTCCACACAGGGACCATAGGGCCTCCGTTCCTTGTGTCTCCCACTTCCCTCTTGCCTGCACCCTCTACTTCTACCCCGTCTACACTGCCATGGGTCGTTTCTGTTGCGTCGTCCTCCAGCCCCTTAACATCCACTGCGTCCTCCCGCCCCTTAACATCCACATGGGGGTTCCACGTAGCCGATGCAGCACACCGTGGAATCACCATGCCCTCTGTCTGCCCCACACCCTTTAATATCTCTAATGTTTACCCCCTCTCTTCCCCCTCCTCACATTGGGAATTCCACGTAGCCGATGCAGCACGCCGTGGAGTCACCATGTGTTCTGCCCTACCACCTACCTCGTCTCTTGCCTGCACCCTATACTGGCGCCAGGTCCCTCCACATAGCGACCAGAGGAACTCCCTTCCTTTTGTCTCCCACTTCATCCCTCTTGCCTCCGCCCTCTACTTCTACCCCGTCTACACTGCCACAACCCCGTCCCTGCTGCATCCTCCAGCCCCTTGACATCCACATGGGGGTTCCACGTAGCCGATGCAGCACACCGTGGAGTCACCATGCCCTCTGTCTGCCCCAC